AAAAAAAAAAAAAAAAAAAAAAAAAGAAAATAATTTTTTTCCTCAGCCTGGATGTAGGGAACTCTGATAAAACCTGTCTACTGATCCCAGGATGCCTGCCGTTAATGCACATTCACCCTCCCAGTGTGTCCCAGTGGTTGCTTATTCATCTTTTTAAACGCTTTTTCATGTCCTCCCCTTGCAGCATTGCCGTGATCACTCTCAAAGTGTAGCCCGCTGTCAGAGAAGACACTAGTCAAAATTCTAGGAGGGAAAATATTATTCCTGTTGTCTTGTGTCCCTGTTTTCCCTTTTTACTTATTTTCATTTCCCTTTCTTGTCTTTTTTTTTTTTGAAACAGTGTCTTACTCTGTCACCCCAAGGTGGAGTACAGTGGAACAATCATTGGCTCACAGCAGCCCCTATCTTCAGGGTTCAAACAGTCCTTCTACCTCAGCCCCTGAGTAGCTGGGACTACAGACATGTGTGCCACACCTGCCTGGCTAATTATTTCTACTTTTTATAGAAACAGCTTCTCACTTTGTTGCCCAGGCTGATCTCAAACTCCTGGGCTCAAGCAATCCTCCCATCTTGGCCTCCCAAAGTTCTGGGATTATAGACAGGGGCCACCACACATGGCCAGTTTCCCTTTCTTTTTTTCTGTCAAATCTAAGCTGCAAACAAAATGAGACAGAAACAGCGTTTGGAGAACACTTTCAAGATGAGATGGTTCTAATGAGGTTGTCTCACTAGCGCTGGGTATGGGATGAGTCTTCCAGGGTTACCTTAGCCCACAAAAGCCTAATAAAGCCTTTGTGTTTATTGGGACCATGCCCACCTCACATAAACATCTTTCAGATTTTTGTAAACATCTAGAGCATCTTCAGACAGACTGCTAAAGTTTCAATCTTTCCTTTCCTTCTCAGAAAAGGAATCTCTTTGCGTTCTTTGACATGGCCTACCAAGGCTTTGCCAGTGGTGACGGTGATAAGGATGCCTGGGCTGTGCGCCACTTCATTGAACAGGGCATTAATATTTGTCTCTGTCAATCATATGCCAAGAACATGGGTTTGTACGGTAAGCTACAGCCCCCAGCATGATACATGTTCTCATGCTGGGAGAGAATGCCACGAAGGTATAGAGCTTGATGGGTAGGTTGGTGGGGGTGGGTATGTGTATGGGGGTGGGTGGGGGTGGGGGTGGGGTGTGTGTGTGTGTGTGTGTGTGTGTGTGTGTGTTCATGTCCACATCCCTCCCTACCCTGAGATGAAAGACTGGTATTGTAGATTTTACTGATTTTCTTAGCCATATGTTCTTCAGTGTCCTTAAATTCTTCCAACAAAGGAAACTGATTACTAGTTCTCTAAACAAAAAATGACTAATCCATGAGCCAAGAAGATAAATACAATAAAAAGATGCCTTTGAATACTCATGAGTACTCAAAGTTTTATTGTGCCTCGGTTTGCCATTTTGGTTGTTGAAAACTTTTTATAACAAAGAGTTAATTTGGGGGTCCTTTGGATGGAAACAGATAATACGTAGCAAATAAATTTCATGATTTACTTTAGCACACGAGATCCATTTTTGTCTTTCAGGTGAGCGTGTAGGAGCCTTCACTATGATCTGCAAAGATGCGGATGAAGCCAAAAGGGTAGAGTCACAGTTGAAGATCTTGATCCGTCCCATGTATTCCAACCCTCCCCTCAATGGGGCCCGGATTGCTGCTACCATTCTGAACACCCCAGATTTGCGAAAACAATGGTAAAGGCTTATGCCACCCCTCAGCCATCCACCTGTTCCCACCGCTGCTCCTTCAAAGCTAGTATTTAATTGACCTCTAGTGATATACCCATAGATTCTATATGCAAAAGACGGGGAATGGAGGAAAGAATGTGCATTCCTTTTTTAAAAAATTGATTGGTTGAGATAGGGTCTTGCTCTGTCACCCAGTCTGGAGTGCAGTGTTGCAATCCTGACTCACTGTTACTTTGTACTCCTGGCCTCAAGCAGGCCTCCGGCCTCAGCCTCCCAAGTATTTGTTAGCACTTTGAACCAAATTAGTTGGTATTTCTCTGTAAGAGACAGACATAATTTTTATTTTATTTTTATTTTTTTATTTATTTTTTTTCTTTTTACTCACAGGCATTCATATAGGATTTTCTTTTTTTTTTTCCCAGACATAATTTTTAAATGGTAGTTCCTTTTTTTTCCCATCATCTCCATGTTAAATAGAACCTGACTTTCCCCAAAATCGGTTTTGAATTATGTACCTCACCTAGGAAAACTTCCTTAAAAATATCATATTTTGTGTCCCAATAATTGCTAGCATTGAATCAGTATTTCTGCATATTTTTGTGTTTTATTGTAGAGACAGGGTCTTGCAGTCTTGCCCAGGCTGGTCTCCTCAAACTCCTAGGCTCAAGTGATCCTCCCACTGCAGACTCCCTAAGTGCTGGGATTACAGGTGTGAGCCACTGCACTCAGCCTGTTTTTTTATTAATCTGTACCATCTGACTCTCAGCATCTGTTCTCTGAATTAGTGTTATCAATCGGTTTGACCACAGTCCACATGAGAAATATATTTAAAGCTGGGCACAGTGGCTCACACCTGTAATCCCAACACTTTGGGACGCTGAGGTGGAAAGATCATTTGAGACCAGCCTGGGCAACATACTAAAACCCCATCTATAAAGTTTTAAAACTATATATTTTACATCATGACCTTGAACACATTATGTATTTATAAGTATATATAACTGAAACTGTTTTTCAAACTCGATACTTCATATGCGCTACTCCAATTTTTTTTTTTTTATAAGATGTGGTTTCACCGTGATGGCCAGGCTGGTCTTGAACTCCTGACCTCAGGTGCTTGGTTGAGAGGGCACATCTCTGAGCAGCTCTTAGGTAGAAAAGCTAAACCTGCTGTCTCTAAGAAACTTGATAGGTAGCTCCCCAAGTCGTCATGTGACAACTATTCTATCTTCACTTTCTGTCTCATGAACATTAAAGTAAATACTAAGAATCTGGTTCAGGATAGTTTTTTTAGTGTTTTTTTCCAGACAGAGTCTTTCTCTGTCACCCAAGCTGGAGTGCAGTGGTAAGATCTTGACTTGCTGCAACCTCTGCCCAGATTCAAGGGATTCTGCTATCACAGCCTCCTGCGTAGCTGGGATTACAGGTGCCCACCACCATACCCGGCTAATTTTTGTATTTTTAGTAGAAACGGCATTTTACCATATTGGTCAGGCTGGTCTCAAACTCCTGAACTCAGGTAATCCACCTGCCTCAACCTCCCAAAGTGCTAGGATTACAGGTGTGAGCCACTGCACCCAGCCTTCCTTTTGTTGTTTCATAAAGACAAGGTCTCACTGTGTTATCCAGGCTAACTCCTGGATAACAAACTCCTGGGCTCAAGACCTCCTCCTGCCTCTGCCTTCCAAAGTGCTAGGATTACAGCTATGAGCCACTGCACCCAGCTCAGGATAGTTCTTTATGATAGAATAGATTCGCGTTAGACCTACCAAAAAATTGACTACTTTTTACATTATATTTTTTCCAGTATAATATTAACATGTAAGTATATTTCTGAAAGTTTGTGAAAGGGAAAAAATTAACCATAAATCTAGCTACTCTAACCCAGCTTTTTTTTTCTCTTGCCCATTGTTATCTGTAGTTGTGACATACTGTTATGTATGTATGTGTAGGACTAGTTTTGGTTTTGCCACTTAGAATTGTACTAAGCTTTTTTTACTTAATATCTTTAATGTTTTTAAAAATATTTTCATATTTTCTGGTTGTGAAAATTTTTTTAATGCATTTCGACACACAATTTGAGAGTCTATAGTAGACAAAGATGCCAAACTATGTTATTGACTACCCTCAGGGTGGTTATAATCTGGTGAGAAATATACACATGTGACCTTTTTGTTGTTGGTTTTTTGAGAGAATCTTGCTCTGTGGCCCAGGCTGGAGTGCAGTGGTGCAATCTCACTGCAGCCTCTGCCTCCTGGGTTCAACAATTCTCCTGCCTCAGCCTCCCCTGAGCTGGGACTACAGGCGCCCACCACCAGGCCTGGCTAATGTTTGTATTTTTAATAGAGACTAGGTTTCACCATGTTGACCAGGCTAGTCTCGAACTCCTGACCTCAACAAATCCACCCTCCTCAGCCTCCCAGAGTGCTAGGATTATAGATGTCAGCCACTGCACCCAGCCACACATGGTATTTAATATAAGACAGAATGGAGCCGGGCGCGGTGGCTCAAGCCTGTAATCCCAGCACTTTGGGAGGCCGAGGCGGGTGGATCACGAGGTCAAGAGATCGAGACCATCCTGGTCAACATGGTGAAACCCCGTCTCTACTAAAAATACGAAAAATTAGCTGGGCATGGTGGTGCGTGCCTGTAATCCCAGCTACTCAGGAGGCTGAGGCAGGAGAATTGCCTGAACCCAGGAGGCAGAGGTTGCGGTGAGCCGAGATCACGCCATTGCACTCCAGCCTGGGTAACATGAGTGAAACTCCGTCTCAAAAAAAAAAAAAAAAGACAGAATGGAATAAATGATGACTAAAGAGAGAGCTGTTGATTCTAGTGGGGAGTTGGAGAAGATGTAATAAGGACTGTGGCATGTGAGCTGTGCCTTAAAGAGAGGAAAGGGCTTTTTTTTTTTTTTTTTTGCAAAGGAAATGAAGCAGACAAGGAAACTGGGCAGAGATCTGTGTAAGGGCATAGGCGTTGTTATGCAGAACTTGTGTAAAAAGTCCCAAGTTGTTTTCATGACGAAAACAGAGTATGAAGAGAACTGTGGGAGGCAGCCAAGCTAAGGAGGTAAAGCAGATCATGGAGCACCCTGTTTAGTACTGTAAGTAAAGTCAGAACTGGATTCTCCAGGCAACAAAGAGGATGGAGCGGTTCGGCTAAGATGGCTCCACATCTAGCCCTGTTCAGACACTCAGTGTCTTTGGGATCCAGGCCTCAAAGTGAATGAAGCCGGACTGTAGGAAATTTAAAAGCAGATGCCATACCTGGAGGGGCCAGGGGCTCCTCAGTTCTAGCTAGTAATTATGCTGCTAATACAGTGCTGTCAGCTTCTCATTTTTCAAGAGAAACTACAGGTTTAAGCTTTTATGCACAAGTGCTCAGTTTAAAAATGTTTCACTAGGTCAAGTAAAACATTACTAGGTCCCATATTTGGCCTTGAATTGGCATGACAATACTTCTAACTCTGCATGACATCATTATAGAGAAATGGTTAGGGAAAGTGAACACCTAACAACAGGGAGATAAACTGTAAATGGAAATGTCATTGGTGAGAGCCAAGAATGTTCCAGAGCCATGGGAATGGAGTGGAAAGGGTAGATTCTGAGGAAGGGGAAGGTTGTATTCAGAATCAGGTGATCCCTGTGCATAGTCAGGACTACCTTCTCCAGTCCTTCAGACAGAATTTCTTCCTTGGGGCTTTTAGTGTAGCAATGTCCTATCTGTTTTATATTATGTGGCCTTATTCCATACTTGGTTTGCAGGTTTGGTTACCAGCATCCCTTGTAAGCTTTTGAAGGCAAGGAGTATGTCTCACTCCTTATCACCTACGATTGCTTGACTCATTGTAGATTCATAGTACATTGTCTCACTTGTGAAGATGGGAATGTATATTTCATCCATGTCAAAAATGAGGTCATATTTTGTTTAACCCACAGCTTTACCTTAATCTTCGTCAGTTTTAGAGTGATTCATTCACTTAATACAGATGAAGTTACGATGGGGTTACATCCCAAAAAGCCTGTCATAAGTCAAAAATACATTTAAGGCCAGGCTCATGCCTGTAATCCTAGCACTGTGGGAGGTCAAGGTGGGAGAATCACTTGAGCCCAGGAGTTCCAGACCAGCCTGAGCAAAATAGGGAGACCCTGCCCCTAGAAAAGAAAAAAAAAAAATTAGCAAGGCATGGTGGCATGCACTTGTGGTCCCAGCTACTTGGGAGGCTGACGCAGGAGGATCACTTGAGCCTGGAAGGTTGAGGCTGCAGTGAGCCATGATCACACCACTGCACTCCAGCCTGGGTGATAGACTGAGACCCTGTGTCTAAAAAAAAAAAAAGAAAGAAAGAAAATAGGCCAGTCATGGTGGCTCACACTTGTAATCCCAGCACTTTGGGAGGCCAAGGCAGGAGGATTGCTTGAACCTAAGAGTTTGAAACCAAATCAGGCAACATAGCAAAACACCATTTCTGTATTTTTTTTTTTTAGAAACAGGAATGAAAAGAAAATGCATTTAATACACTTAACCTACCAAACATCATAGCTTAGCCTCGCGTACTTTAAACACACTTAGAACATGTATGACTACAGTTGAGCAAAATCATCTAACACAAAGCGATTTTATAACAAAGTGCTGAATATCTCATGTAATTTATTCAATACTCTACTGAAAGAAACAAAATGGCCATATGGCTACTTAAAAGTATGGTTTCTATTGAATGTATATTGTTTTTGCACCATCATAAAGTTGAAAAATTGTGAGTCAAGGACTGTCTCTACTCAAGTGTGTTAACTGTTTTAGTTGCCTGATGGAAATAGTGTTCCAATATAAAACAGAATGGTATACAATAGCTTTCGTCCCTAACCAGTGACAGCATATGACTCAGCTATGGCCTGAGAATTGAGGCACACTAGGGAAGGGCGCAAGGGGGCTAAAAATGCTGTGAACTCTTGCATATCTGTCAGTGCTTAGGCAGAATGAGCTGCATCTCGGGGTTTCTTTACAGGTTGCAAGAAGTGAAAGGCATGGCCGACCGCATCATTAGCATGCGGACTCAGCTGGTCTCCAACCTCAAGAAGGAGGGTTCCACCCACAACTGGCAACACATCACCGACCAAATTGGCATGTTTTGTTTCACAGGGCTAAAGCCTGAACAGGTAAGTGATTCTCATTTGTCTGCAGCAGGCCAACTGATCAGTCTTTGCAAACCAGGATTATTTTTTTCCCTCTTCCTTTTTATTTAATTTTTTTTTTTTTTCGATAGTCTTGCTCTGACACCCAGGCTAGTGTGCAGTGGTGCAATCTCAGCTCACTGCAATCTCCACCTCCCATGGCTCACGTGATCCTCCTGCCTCAGCCTTCCAAGCAGCTGGGACTGTAAGCACACCTGGCTAATTTTTGTGTTTTTTGTAGAGAAATAGTTTCGCCATGTTGCCCAGGCTTGTCTTGAACTCCTGGACTCAAGCGATCCACCCACCTTGGTCTCCCAAACTACAGGGATTACAGGTGTGAGTCACTGAGACCAGCCCCAGAAGGATTCTTCATCGATCACCCACCTATTCAAAGTTACCCTAAAAAACAGTTAAAACAGTGATTTTGGAGCCCTTTTAGGTAAAGGTATTGTAATTCTTTTTAGTGTTTATTTTGCTTTATTTTTTTAGTTGTTTACGTCTCTGTATCCCCCAGGAACTCACAAACTTCTAAAGAGCAGAGCGTGTTTTGATCATGTTCATGGTCATTGCTGCTTCTCCCAAGAAAGCAATAGGAGAAATAGCTGTTTCATAACCGAATCCTGACTCTGCTGAATCTAAAGCTTTTTTTTTTTCCCCACCTGTTTATGCCTCAGAATTCATCATCCTACTTTAAAGTAGCTTTTTCTTTTTTGAGATGGAGTCTCACTATGTTGCCCAGGCTGGAGTGCAATGGCACGATCACAGCTCACTGCAGCCTCCGCCTCCCAGGTTTCAGCGATTCTTCTGCCTCAGCCTCCTGGATGGCTGGGGTTACAGGTGTGTGCCACCACACCCAGCTAATTTTTGTAGTTTTAGTAGAGATGGGGTTTCACCATGTTGGCCAGGCTGGTCTTGAACTCCTGACCTCAAGTGATCCGCCCGCCTTGGCCTCCCAAAGTGCTGAGATTATAGGCGTGAGCCACCGTGCCCAGCCTTAAAGAGGCTTTTTATTATTATTTTATTCCAAGCTAACAGCAAATTCTGGGAACAGGGTTTAAGGGAGGAAATAGAGCTTTAATGAGTTGGCCACTGCCCCAGGCTGGGGAGAATCCCCCTTACCAGGAAGAGGTACCTAAATTCTTTCCTTTCTGCAGGTGGAGCGGCTGACCAAGGAGTTCTCCATCTACATGACAAAGGACGGCCGCATCTCTGTGGCAGGGGTTACCTCCAGCAACGTGGGCTACCTTGCCCATGCCATTCACCAGGTCACTAAGTAATGTCCCTGGTGTGAGGAAACAAAGACAACCTTTCTGTCTTCAGCCTCTGCTATTGGGAGCTTCACACAGAGAATGAGAGAGGGTGGATGGTGGTGAGTGGATGATTTCCTTCAACCACAGTGTATAACACACAGCGATTGAATGTTTCTCAGAAAAGAGCATGTAGTGACACGGGGCAGAGGCGCTGGCATCTGGAACATTGTGGCTCTAAACCAAACTCTCTCCCATCCTTTTATCTCCAACTTTTCTCAAAGAGTTTACATGTGCAAGAAAGTCATCGCACCAAAAAAAACCTGTCAATTATGCCATTGCAATATTTCAGAAGCTTTAACTGAAGTGTCAGGTTCCTCATGAGAAATAGTGCACATTAGAGGCTTTGAGAGAAGACCTAGTTCTGTCATGAACAGTCGGCCTCATGTCTGTCCTCCCATCAGGAAGCAACCTCATCAACAGACCACATTGCAGAAATTATGTTTTATGTAAACCAGTGAGTCTGCTGCCACTACAGCAAGGAAAACAATGCGGTTTCCTGTCTTATTTAAGAAAAAGAGAAGGCTCTCTTCTCCCTTGTCATTGCTGTTCTTTAACTTACACATAAAGATTTTTAAGTAATGCAGATTTTAATCCCATTCTACTGCTTGACTGATCATCAACCCCATCTATTGGGTTTTATTTAAAAATAAAGAACATAATTTTCTGCTGACGTCATACCCTCACATTTCTCAGCAAAGAATAGTGGAGAGTAGGTAACTGTCCTTGATATCGGCATCCTCTTGAATTATTGTGTAATTTTCTCTAGTTGGGATGTTGTCTCTGCCCAGTTGGACCTCCTCCCTTTGTTGAATGTGGTTGTGCAAGTTACTCCTCTCACGTCGTGAGTCCAGCAGCGCAGGGTGGTACCAGGAAAGAGGACATTCTAGGCTTTGTGTGCTGACAGCTGGGTTCAGGCTTCACCTGCTGGAAAGAACTACCATCTGCTCTAATCATGTAGACTTATTGCGGCCTGGTTTCTCTGTTACAATAAAATTACTGTAGACCCAAGTGCTATCTACTAAGGTATCTTTTTTCTTTAATGGGAGGAAGGTGTAGGAGTGGGTAAATATTCTAGAAGTTTGGAATCGTGTAGCTGATCATAAACCAGTAGATGTGGCCACTATTCCAAATATTGACTGAAGATTCATCTTTTTCTTCTTCATGTTGTCATTCAGTTTGTCCAGTCCAAAGATGCTGAGAATGTGGGTGTAATCCCTTAGACCTTGGCGGAACAAGTGGAGTCCCTTGAAGGATCCTGTAGATATAGGCAAGGGGTAGAAGGGATGGAGGAGAAGTGACAGCTTCAGGGGTCTATAGGAGCCAAGTAGGTCACGTAAATCAAAAAGTGGTGTGAACTGGATATAAGATGATCAGTGGTGATCAGCCTTCATCCTCAGCATTGAGGAGCAGTAGCGAAGTGACAGGAACTGTGAGGATGAAAGCCTAAGGTAGTATTTCAAGAAAAATGGAAGGCCGGGCGCGGTGGCTCAAGCCTGTAATCCCAGCACTTTGGGAGGCCGAGGCGGGTGGATCACGAGGTCAAGAGATCGAGACCATCCTGGTCAAC